CGTTTTGGGCTGCCACAGGCTGTGGCCTCTGCTTCGGTGCACGGCAGCTCCCGCAGCTCCTCCCGGGAGCAGAGCGCCGCATGCGCGGGAGCGCGGCGGTGCCGTGCGCGGGGCCACGCTGCACAGCGCTAGCGATTCCCTCCGGGGAGGCTCCTCTCCCTTCCCAGCACAGAACTTCCCTACGGAATAAATGAGGCCGCGGCGCCGACCCTCCCTTGCGTGTGGCCCATTGAGCAAATGCAAAGCGCTTCCAAAGCGAGCGGGAGGTGGCTGCAAAGACGCGGGGACGGAGGCGGCGCAGCGAGCCCAGCCTCGGCCCGCGAGGCCGCTGGCACACACGGCCGTGCGCGAGCCGGGGCGCACGGGGCCGAGTGCCCCTGCGCGAAACAGGGCTGCGCCTGCAGCAGGAGCCCAGCTCTGCCTTTGAGAAGCCGCCCCACAGCCTAAGGCGGCTCCACCAAATGCAATCCATCCGGCTCCTGCAATCCTGTGGGCACAAAATTGCACCAAAATTGCTGCAAAAGCCACCCTGCAGCCTAAGGCAGCTCCATGAACGCAACCCATGCAGCTTCTGTGACCCTGGCGGTGCAGAACTGCACCAGGAATCTCAGCGCTCGCACCAGCGAGGATGCCTAGGCTGTGCCCCATGAGCACCCTTAGGGACACTGTGGAGGTGACCACAGCAAACGGAGCCCAAAAGGCTCTCGCGGCGGCGAAGGCTCAAGACAGAGCCACAGCCCTTCGCCCCCGCGCGCTTACGTCGGTCAAGGCCGCGTTGATGTAGTTGTTGCTGTCTCCGTCCACGGAGATGAGGAAGGGGAGGCAGCGGGAGGGCGGCAGGACGTCCATGCTGCGGTTCCTGTCGCGGTTGCGGGGCAGCAGCGCGATGCTGCACTCCTCCACGTCCAGGTGCGGCGTCACCGAGTTGAGGGTCTGCGGGGACACGTCTGCGGCTCGATCCTGACCAGCTCCTTGTAGGTGGGTTTGAACTCGCCGGCCGGGATGCTGGTCTCGCCGCATAGGCAGGCTTCCAGGATGGCGTCGTGGATGAACACGTACTGCTCCTGCGGGGGAGCAGAGGGAAGGCGCTGGGCTGGCCGGCGCGGAGCCTCCCCCAGCTCACGTGGGCACCCGCTGCCCACTCCCCTCCTGGGCAAAGCCAGGGCTGCTCCCACCACCCTGCAGGGAGCAAAACGCCCAAGCAAGATGCCCTGCAACAAGCCGAGGCAGCAGGATAGGGCCCTGGGCTTCCATGGGGACATCGTGGTGGCCACCTGGGACACTGAGCTCTCATTCCCCTGTCTTGCCTTGTGGGCACTAATTCTTCTGCCCAATCTGCTGCTGGGTCCTTCCTGCGGGACACGGAGAAGTGTCGTTGAGGCCAATGGATCCAGAGCCACTTCCCTGCTCACCTCCGTCTGGATCATGTTGATCCTCCGCGAGCACAGGGTCTTCACGCAGTTGTAGATGTCCACGACGCCCTCGCACTCGGCCATGTCCAACATGACGTCCAGGACGATGTAGCAGCCTGTCCTGCCCGTGCCAGCACTTGGAGGGGACAACGTGGGAGAGGAGAGAGCAAACGTGTTCCCACATCCATAAAGCATCCGTGGGAGAGCGGAGACACCGGCCAGACAGCCCAAGGGCTGTGCGAGTCACTGCTCGGCTCCCCCCTTGCTCTTTATAGACTCTTTTACGGCACAATGCTAATTTCTGGGGCTGCTGAATCACTTGCTGTGATTCTCGGTGATTACAGGCTACGGGAACTCATCCCGCTCGAATCCTGATGAGGCCGTTGACAGGGAGAAGTCAAACAGCAAATCCCTGTCGCTCCCCAGCTCCCCCGCGTCGGCGCAGCGGCAGGGGAGGCGCGAGGCCAGCGCCGCTCTCACCTGCAGTGGATGACGACGGGGCCGGCGTCGGGCGGCGTGGAGGCCTTCACGCGGCGGATGAAGGCCAGCAGCCCCGTGGCGTGGTAGGGGACGCCGTGCTCGGGCCACGACGTGAAGTGGAACTGCTTCACCTCGTGCCGCGCCGAGTAGCCCCTCTGCAAGGGAAGCAGTGGGAGAACAGCTCCCGAGGTTGGGCTCGCTACGCACCGGGTCCCTTGGAAGACCCACCCCATGCTGGGCAGGTGCCCAGTTTCACTGGCTCTTTGCTCAAAACTAGACAGTGATTTCGCCTTCCTGCAGATTAAGGGGTAAATTACACTGGCTCTGTCCCTAGGCGCCAAGCTGGAAAGTGATTGCCAGGCACAGGAGAAGCAGCATCATTCATCCCCTTTTGCAATTACCGGGTGCTTACCCTGCAATTAAACGCTCGCTATCGGCCCCGAAAATCAGTGGGGCTAGCACGTGGGCGCAGGGCAGGGGGGGCCAGACGAGGCCTCGGGGCATTTGCCCGGACGTGAGGGAGAGCACAGAGGTCCCCCCACTGTGTCGGGGGAGGCCAGGACGCTGGTATAACGCCCCGTGCCGGGGGAGCCGGCCGCTTACCCGCTCCAGGGTGAACGTGCGCACGGCGTATTCCGCCAGAGCCTCCGCCTTCACCAGGGTGATCTTGATGTCCCCGTACATCTCGGAGTCGTCGGGCCAGTACTTGGAGCATTTCACCTGCAGGGAGCAGGCGGATGGGGCCGGGCCCTCAGGCGCACGCCAAGGGGCTGCCCACAGAGCCGGGACAGAGAGGGACCGAGCGGGGGCCTTACCCGTCCCACCTCCACCAGCTTGGTTATCATCACGATGCTGGAGCAGTGCTCCTGCCACACCATGCGCCAGAAATCGTACACCATCTCCTGCTTGGGACCTGCGGGGCAGGGACAGCGGGATGGACGCGGGGCAAAGCCAAGCGGAGAGCCGAGATTCCCTGGCCGATCTGGGGAAGCGGCAGCACCTGCCCCAAGGTGCGGGTGCCCCTCTCCCTCCTTGGTTTGATGGGATGTAGGTCACTCACCCTGCGTGGCTATGAAGTGGTTGGACCTGTGGTAACCCTGCAAGGCAAAGGCAGGTGTTGGAGCCAGGGAAGGAGGCCGGGCAGCGGGATGGAGCCCCGCGGGACGCGTGGCCGCCGCGCTCTGCCCACCAGCTCCACCAGCTGTTGGTCACCGGTCCCCAGCACAGGGCACCTTTAGGGCCCATTTCCAGCTCATCCCTGCTCAAACCAGTCCCTGCCCAGCCCGAGCCCTCTGAAAACAGCACAAAGAGCAAAACCTCCAAGGACAGCAGAGCTGAATCCCCCAAACTGCAGGGCAGCATCACTAGGCATCCTAGGAGGGGTCATGTCCCACCAAATCTAGCACAATCCACGACCTTCATCCCTTTCCCTAGAGGAAATCCCCAGCTCCTGCTCTGGGTAAATCTGACTCTTTTCCCAAGTCACTGGAGCAGACCCAGGGAAGATCCCCCTTCCCCATTACCCTGGGGACTCCACGCTTTGCAAAAGCTGTTCCAAGGAGAGCTAAACTTCCCCCTTCCCCAGCAGCATCTCCCTTCTCTGTATTCGGATGCTATTTTACACCTTGCTGCCTGGCGCTCAGCGCCTGGGAGGAGAGCAGGAGCAGAGAGCGGAGCGCAGAGCAGAGCAGCTACTTACTTCGCGGTTAATCCGGATCTTAACGATCCCAATCGGACCCAGGGTTGAAAGAAAAAGATCGGAGACAGAGACATTAGTGAGACACAGTTCAAGAGACAGTTAGAGCATCGGCACCAGCCGGGGCAGCATACGAAGCAGGGACAGAGAGGAGCAGCACAGGAAAGGAGGAGGGAGACGGAGCAACTCCACAGGACAGGGACATGGAATGAGCAGGAACTGCCGACGGACAGAGGCAGACAGGGAGGACACGCGTGGTCCAGGCCCATCCAGCCCGGCCGGGCCTCTCAGTCACCCTCACGCTGCGGAGCTGTGAACTGCTCCTCTCCACCCAGCCCCGGGAGCAGCCCATGGATCCAAGCAGGCACCATCCTGACTTACGTCAATGTAGTTGGCGTTGATATAATCTGAATTGGGGTCTCCCAGCAGCGGGTGGAGCTTGACTCGGTGGCGGTCGTCTGGAAAGCAAGGCCAGGAGGCGCCTTCAGAGCACGGAGGGCACACGAGGTGGTGGACAAAACCTCCGCTCACCCCCGGCCTCTGCCCCGCCATCACCAAGGAGGGCAGAACCAGCCTTGGCTGCGCTTGTTTTGGTGGCCGATGCCCGACAGGAGTTCCCAGGCCTGGACACCCTGTGCTGAACAAGGAGGTCTCTGCTGCCCTTGACCAACCAACCCCAATCACAGCTAATTCTTGCCATAGATCCGGCAGTCAAAAATAAATAACTAAATAACTAAATAAATAAAACCCCTCCAGCCCTTCAGAGGCTTTTCAGGTTTGGGGGATTTCGAAGCTCCGCTGACGGCACTCACACGTTGACACATGATCCTGTCTCCCCTTCGTCTTGTCTTTCTTCTTCGAAGCATCCCAGCCTTCAAAGAAGCTCTGAGGAGGAGAGAAGCCTCTTGTGGCCCCGGGTGGCAGAGGGCTCTGCCCCATGTCACAGCTCGTGCCTCGCTACCCCAAAGCCCCAGCCACGGCCCCGGGGCACCATCCACAGCTCCGAGCTCCTGTTGCATCCACAAAATGCTCCATTTTCCAACAAATTACACGCTGCTTGTTTTTTCTAGGTTCCTTTTTCTTTTTTCCTTTATTTTTATTTTTTTTTACCTCTCAAGCCCCTTCTCTCCCCAGCACAGAATAGGTTTGTGTGCAATAACAGCAACATTCATAGATTGGCATAAGAGGAGGAAAGTGGAAGGAAATTACATGTTTTCTCCCCTCCCATAATATCTGAGTGCTTTCAAATGACTAGTTCCAAGAACATACAGCAGCTTTTCAAGGAGCACTAATGGTTATAGCCAGCCCTGGTTTGTCCAATACATAAAAGGAGGGGAAAAGCTCCTGCACTTGAAACAACTAAGCATTAAACAGTAATTTCACTGGGAAATTTCAATCACCAGACCCGTGGGGACACCAAGGAATCAGGGAATCAACCCTGCTGGATGTGCTGCTGCAAAGCCCTGCAAATCACCTGGCTCCAAGCGCTCCAGCCCGTGAGGGCAGGATGGGCCCAGTGCACTCGAGCATTCTCGGAGGTGACTTATTCCCTGTGGAAGAGATGGGATCACCCTCTCCCGCATTCCCTCCCTGGGCTTGGAGGCTGCCAGACTGTTGAGGCGCCCTTTACCACAGGACAAGCGTGGCGGCAGCGAGGAGGAGGAGGAGGACGCGGCCAGGCCGCGGGGGACCCGTCCCTCCCGCCGCGCTCACCTCGTACTCCTGCTTGAAGCCGTAGCCCTCGGCCGTCTTCATCTGGTTGATGTGCTGGAGCAGGTCGGCAACGCGCACGGCGGGGTGCAGCTGCCCCGTGTGGTAGGGAGAGCCCTTGCGGGCGCCGGGCCGGCGCGGCGAGCCGCCCAGCAGGCTGCTCCCGCGGTGCCTCCTCCCACACAGGCCCACGCGGCCCCTTGCAGCCCTCGGGGCAGCACCCAGCGCTCCTGCCGTCTCCCGCCTCCGGCACGGCAGAGCTCCCGGAGCCTGCGGAAAGGGCTCTCTGGGTTTATGCGCTCATTTCCCATCGCGTCGAGCACTTAACGCACAAACGGCCCCAGCAGGGCCAGGCACACCAGCACCTTGAGCTTCAAGCCTGGACTTCAAAGACCGCATGGCTGAGGAATCCAGCCCCCACGGCCAACTGTACCAGGGCCTCGTTTCTAGCACTGACACAAACGGGCTTTGCTGCTGTTTAACGGGGTGATTCACACCGATTTTGCCGGTTTACCCCTGTCATATAATCCCAGAATGGTTGAGGTTGGAAGGTACCTCTAGGGATCATCCAATCCAGCCCCCTGCTCCAGCAGGGACACCCAGAGCAGGGGCACAGGGCGGCATCCAGGCGGGTTTGAAGATCTCCAGAGAAGGAGCCTCCACAGCCTCTCTGGGCAGCCTGTGCCAGGGCTCTGGCACCCTCACAGGAAAGAATTCGACAGAGCAGATGGCACCAGGGCTGGATCTCCTGCAGGGTCCACGCGGCCACGGCCTGGCCAACACGCGCTCTCCTCAAAGCCGGGTCCGTACAAAAGCCGGGGCTCTCGGTGGCTGCCCAGGACCCAGCCAAGGCTGCTCCCCCTTGGCACCGCTCCCTGCCTGTTTGCTGACAGGCACTTCCACCCGAGGAGGAAATCCCAGGGGCTCTTGCACCCACAATGCCTCCAAAACCACCCTTGCCAGCAAACCAGCCTGGGAGGACACCCTTTGAGAAGTCCTGATAGGATCAGACTGCAAATTAACTAAAGAACTGAAACATAATACATCCAGGAGGAGGAGGACAAGCCGCCCCACGGGCCTGCATTCTGCGCGAGGCGGCGCAGGGCAGCGCGTGCGGGCGGCAGCGGCGCGGGGGACGCACACGAGCAGCCCCTCACAGCCACCATCAGCATATGGCATCAACCGAGTTATTCTACAGCTAACTCGGTCCAGAGACGCGTGCTCCAGTGGGTGTTAAACCATCAGTCTGCCTCGAGGAACACCCGGGCTCCTTAACCCCTCCAATCCCGGGGCTGTTTGCAACAGTAGCGGGAAGCCGGGTGTCCTAGAGCCAAACTGCTGCAGGTGGGGCTTACCCCAACATCAGGATCCAACGTTTGAGCCAGTTTGAGCACATGAAAACTGCAAACCTTGCAGCGAGCCCACGCCCGGAGAGACCTCTTCATTGGAGAGAGCGGAGCCGCGTCCGGGCCGCAGGAGCTGGTGGCCCCGTGCCGGTGCTTACCCCGGGCGCTGTAGTTGTGCGTGTCCATGAAGGAGAGCCCCAGCCTCTCGTCCTCCTGCAGGGTGCTCTGGTCCGTGAAGCTCCTGTCGATGGCACTCATCATGTGTGTCTTCTCGTGCCGGTAGTTGATGGTGGCCTTGGCCATGTTGACGGGTTTGCTGCGGGGAGGGAGGTTGCGCCGGGCGTGAAC